CCGAGTGGTCAGCGCGTCGGACTCGCAATCCGGCGGTCCCGGGTTCGAGTCCCGCTCTGGCCACTTGCTGGATTTGTGCTCGGTCGTCCCGAGTTCAAATTCTCGGCCATGCTTGTAAATAGCCAACTGGTTGCCTTCTGCCAGTTGGGGTTTTTAATCCTGTTATGTTGTATTTGAATTATTTGTTTCTAAATATTTGGGTGGAGTGCCTGTAAATTAGCTGACTAGCTAAGTGCACCTTCCACTATAAACATGCCTTTAACCTAACCTTTTTTTTTTAACCTTTTAACCTTAACCTTTTTTTTTTTAAACCTTAACAGAGGTGTCCGTCTTATAGAGGTGTCCGTTAAGAGAGGGTCGACTGTATTTAAATACCTGAGGTCACGATGTCATGGGCCATGCTGCCAAAGGCTCCTGGCCCAGCAGAAGTGTAGGCACGTACTTCAACTTTGTAAACAGAGCACGATAAAAGACCAGTTAAAACGATAAAAGTGTCGGATGTGTTATGTAGAACTGAGGGAGTGGACACGGATCTTGCAGTGCGTGGAGTAGAAAGCTTCGTCTGATTTACTTCGTAAGCGATCACTCTACCATTACTTGTGTTTCTGGGATGAGAATTCCAACTTATTCTGTAAGATGTCTCGTTCATCTTCTCAGATTTTATGTTGTGAGGTGACGCGCTTGGTTCTGAGAGAAAAAAACAACGGGTAAAAAAATAAACCTGTGGAACCCGAAAGATAAAATGACTCTCTTGTAGTATAACAAGTTCTCATCATTACAAGTAAAGATGAGAGCTGCGAGTTTGCTGCTCGCTAGGACCCACGCGCGGTTCACACACTGCGCGCGCGCTTCTCGCGCGACGAGACTATAAACTCACTTTGCTCGGCGATCCGCACCTCGCTTCGCAAGGAATAATACATACCATAAAGTTCACTAACCACGATTGGCATAAATTAGTGAAAGTATAGTATAGTATAATTTTGGCTCATTATACGTTTCTGGGAAACTGCCCACCTACCCTCCCCTAAGCCAACATTTTGCCCTAAGAGCGAAGTAAGTGGTTATGTTGGCTTAGGGGAGGGGTAGGTGGGCAGTTTCCGAAATCTTTCCCTCCCTTCACTTCTCTCACGTCACCAAACTGTGTGTACGTGTTCGGGCTTTTAAAGTAAGAGAAAACGTCTTTCTTACTGTTGCATAGTTTGTCGTTCATTGCCACAGTTGAAAGTGCCGTCGATAAGATTATCTCTTTTTACCATTTACGTCCTTTCACCCCCGCCACATTTTACGAGTGGAATCTATTCACGTGTTGGTTCATAAAGTTAAGATTCCAACGTTAAAAGGGATAAACAAGGATGTGGAATGTGATCGTACTACGTACGTTTGTAACGTAAGAATTCAACTTTTTTTTATCTCATGTGCATCACAGAGACTTAGAGAGGTAAATGATACATTCATTTCAAAATCCAGAAAAGGCGATTTGTAAGTTGCATAACTTCATCTAAAGAGAGTGATCAGCATCAGCATCAGCATCTTAGAGTGATCAGCATCAAATTTTTCCTTGTAATATCAATGCTTTGTAAAACTGAGTGGTCATGAGAATTACGTACATGATGAATTTGCTTGATATTTTATCAGCTTCTCCCCACTATTTCTGTGGGAAATGAATAGGGGCAACAGATGAGAATTCAAATTTTGATCTTATGGTTTAAAGGGCCAGGGCCAGTGCCAGATTCCACGGTTGACTCAGCAAGTAGTTTTTACTAACGAATAAACTAGACTGAATTTCATATAAACAATGACTTCCAATTGGTTGAAGCGCTGTTCCCATAAGAGTTAGTTTTTATTCCCGATATCGTTCTTTAATTTCCAGGGCTGGCAGCTCAAATCATGTTTTGAAGTTTCTCTGTCTTTGTCACCACATTAGTAGCCATAATAATTTCTTTTTGCGCATTGTATTCACAAATCATCTACACATAGGGACCCAAAACAAGGAACTGAACAGCAGATACTTACTGTATTCTGGTACTTGTTTAGTTCCAGTTAGCGTTGGCCCGGGTTTAATAGTTTCTGCCCAAATTTCAACACTGAACTGTATTCCACCGAAAACATCTAGACTGTGGCTAAAGGTCTGATTATTTGTTTCACTTGCAATGGTAGATTGTCGTCCATCAATGGTGTAGGTCAAAACCAATTTATATTTCCTGATGATACCATTTTTTTCAGCAGGTTGTTGCCAGTGGACCGTCATTCTCGGCATCGCTATTTCACTTGGCTTTTGCAAGGTGAACGATAGATTCAGTGGTTTGCTGGGGGCTAAATGAAGGGAAAATAGGAAGAGACAGAGGTGAAAGTCAATTTCTCTCCTTTTGTTAATTTTTTGTTTGTTGTTCTGGAAGTAATAAGGGGGAAAAGAAACAGATTCTTGTAAAAAAAAAACTTAAGTCAAGGAGTATACAAACCATCTTCTAGCGTCCGAACTTGCTTTTCAGGACCCGGTGGACCAAGAAAGTCGCCATTACTGACTGCGATTTTAATGAAATACACTGTCCATTTCTCCAGGTTCTCTAAAGTATGACTGGAGGTTGATCCACTGACATTGACTTTCGAGGAAGGTTTTCCTGCTTCCATGTATTCAATACTGTACCCTCTAAGGGGTCCGTTTAAATTGGTGGTGCTTGATGTCTACGACATGAACTTGACTAAATTAGTGTTCAAGTAATACATCGTTAAATAAATGCTTCTATTATCTTTTTAGGAGCTTGACGGTGCATAACGTTCAATATTATTTCTATTATGTTGCATTAATTCCTTTGGTCATAATTCATGAACAAAAAACAAAGGATTGTGCACCGTTACAAACCTCCCAACGTAAACTGCAGCACTTTCATGTTTATCTTCGATGTTTGCCAGTTTTCATAACCAGTCTCCTTTCCCCATTAACTATGTTTATTTTCAAACCTTTTAACAGTGAACGCCATTAAACTTTAAGATCTGAAAATGATAAATTTGTGGGATTGTTGCAGACAAGTTCAAACCTCAAGGGCACCCAACGAGAATATAGTTCAAAACCACTTAAACATAGCATTGTTAAACGTATTTTAGTATTTAAACGGTAGATATAGGCATATTTTTATCCCCTAAAAANAGTTCAAAACCACTTAAACATAGCATTGTTAAACGTATTTTAGTATTTAAACGGTAGATATAGGCATATTTTTATCCCCTAAAAATGTTTCATCTGTTCGGATTTCCTAGCTGAAAGTCTAGTAATCCGAAAATAATAGGGATCAAAACTTACTTTTTTGAAAATTTCAGCAAGAAAAAAGGCTCCCGAAAATTCTAGGTGACCTTTTTGGGGTAAAAATCCGTTAAAAATAAAATTATGCAATTATACCATTTTTTACATGTTCGAAAATCCTAGGGGAGGCAGGCGAGCAAGAAATTTTACAACAAATGTTTCGAAAATTCTAGATCTCAAATCGTCTTCCGAACAGATATTCTTCCGAAAATTGTCGTTGGGTGCCCCCGAAACCTACACTTTTTTCCGTTGTTTACACAAAGCAGTGAACATGAATGAACAAAGATGGCAGTGGTTACACAGGTTCTTCTGTTTGAGGAAACCAGATTCTTACACAGTCGCCATTTGTGAGTTTAGGGGTAGGAGAAGAATGGAGGCGTTGTTAAAATAAATCTGATGTTTACCTGCCATTTCACATGAATTGACTGTGAAGAAGGACTTGTCACACTCACGATCTGGACATCGACTTCAGGCTCTAAAAAGAGAAAGTGACAAGTTAAGTTTAGATTGATTTATCCTCAATCAGAATAGTTCTATCCTATGACCGGACGCCTGATTACTACATGAAAATCACTGAATGAGTTTGCTTGCACAACTTTATCTGTCGCAGTTCTTCAGATTTTTTAAAATGAAAATATCGATGAGATGATAGCAGAAGTAGTTAATATTTTATTACCCGACTGACTGGGGCCGCTAAAACGATGTGGCGATGATTTTGGACTGAAGAACGTATTATATTAAATTATTGTTCTTAGCACTCAACTAAATTGCATCAACACTTACTGGCAGTTTTTGTTGTGAAATTCTGGAAATTACTCCACAGACCCTTTCCTAAGACACTTGTGGCTACCAACCTAACACTGTAGGCTGTGTATGGCTTGAGGTTGATAATCCGTTTACTTAATACAAGTCCCAAAGGTATATCGCGTGTAGCAGTACTATTTCGATACTCAAGATTGTAGGCAGTTACAGACATTTCATCCGCTCCAGGATTATACGACCATGCGACTAATGTTGATCTTGCTTTAACGTCACTTGGATTAACTTGAACAACTGGCTTGCCTGGTTTCTCTGAAAACAACAAAAATGTGCCTCTTAATGAGCCTTACTTATAAGGTTATCTAAAAACCCAGCACTTAAACCGTTGAGCAAGTGACAAAATCAACGAATAAACAAACGCGTTAAAAAAATACGTTACCCACTTAGAGTACGTTAAAGGTTGAGGTATTTTTTAGAAAGTACTTCCTTGTTCATCTAGTACCGTTTGCAGTCACGTATTGTTGGAATGCAATATTTTTTCGTGTCCTTATAAAGAGCTTAAACTATGTTAGTTATTGAAAACTGCGTGATCCCGTATATTAAATTAAATTTCACATTCACGATAACGAGCAAAAAGGCGTTTCAAGGTACGCACAAATTTTTGCTTACTTAAGGACACTATAACATTTGCCGTGGTCAGATGACTGCCTTGTATTCCAGAAAGTGATGCAGAGCATTGGTAGGTTGAATTACACTGGACTCCACTGGCTGAAGTGAGCTTTCTTGCGCAAGAGTTACTGTAGATATTACTGGCATTGCCGTATGGTATGGTAAGAGAGGGAGTTGTGTCAGACAGCCCCGCTCCATCTTTGCTCCAACTATACCCAGAGGGTTGTCGGGGGCTGTAACTAGCCACACAGGTCAGGGTCACAGATTGACTAGTGTTGGCTATCACACCAACATCATCAAGATCAACGTTTAACGGCAACGAAACTTGGTCTGAAAGAGACAAGCAAATATTTAATGAAAAGACGACAAGAAATAACTTAGCGAACTTATCAAATACAATATCTCAATTTTACACTCCATTAGGTTCATTGAATCTGATTGGCTGAGAGCAGTAATGCAGTTTCAAGATCGAGCCGGGCTTTAGAGTGTGTGGGGTTTATGCGGGGGGAGGGAGGCGAGAAAGTAGCTTTGATACAAATCCAAGATATATGATGGCCGCCCCTAATGCAGAGCGGTCGATCGGAAAAATAGAGGACTGTAAACAGCCTATAAGTAAACAGAGTACAAAAACGAGGAAATATAATTCAATTATCAGTGAATGAAGCATCGTGATTGGCAAAAAAACAATAGAATTGTTTAATGACCAATCAGGTGCCGCAAATCTTTGTTGGCCACTTTGAGGTTGCGCGTGAGACTGGGTTCAGGTGTTGTGTCGATCGAGTTGCATAGTGGGGATGTTTTGAGGACGAATTTTGATCCAGTAAATTTTTGCCCGTTTGATACGTTTTTGAAAAACACACTCGTGTAAATAAATTGCAAATTGAACTCGACGTTGTAGGACAACCCATACAAACACTTTCTACTGGAGAAAAGGTTTGCATTACGATACAAACTTCACTCTTAAATGCAGATTCCTCCGTTTTCGACGACAGCACTTAGCCTGCCAGTAGATGTCTCAATCCCATTTCCTCTGCGCAGGCTAGAAAGTGCTGCATCATACCAAATAGCACTAAAGTACTTATTATGTGGCTACCGGGCAAGATGAGGCACATTCCTTGTTCTCATTGGTTACCCGAGGAAGCAAGATGGGGAGGAGAGTTGTGTGACAAGACAAAAACGGCTGCGTGCGATACTAAAATTAAGCTCGTTTGTGTATTCACATTTTAAAGCTTAATTTACTTTTTAGCTTAAATTGCTATGCACATTTGAGCTTTTATGTTCTTTGTTAACATTCAAAGCATTGTAACGTTCTTCTGATCATAGTTGCATGGAAAAGGCGCGTTATAATTTTTAAATTATTAATACTATTAATTATTGACTGTATACGGCAGTACATGTACGCCATTAATTCAAATTTTTACAAATCCCCTTCCCCTCTAACAAATCATACTTACAATCCTTACAGCCAAACAAGTCCATTCTCATACATATTTCACCAGTATATGTTTTGGGAAATATTCTGACAAATTGCGCTGCAAACGGAGGAGCAAACCAGTGGACAACAATGGTACTTCTGTCGCTGTTTCCAGTCAAATGCTGCGTGGTAGATCAAGAACAAAGTAAGTGGAGATATACAAATAATTTTATTGCCCTCGCAGGGCCGGAACCCGAGGAGGCACCCTAATGTCCCCCGCGTAAAGTAAAAGTATCGTATCGTCGTAGTGTTAGTATGCGAAATTTTCTCGATTTGATGAAACTAGGCGCGCACGGTGGTCCCGGTTAATTTTCAGCATGTGCGCCTGGCTCAGCAACCGCGCAAACTGGGTTTGTCAACGAGTCGCATTCGCCGAATTGTGTCACACACAAGCACAACGAGTGGCTCCAAATCCTCGCCCAGGAAGATTTTCCACCGAAACTCCGACTTCAAATTCAGCGTGAACAACGAAGGAGAAGACGTCAACAAGAAACCGCGGAGCAGAAGGAACATCGATTAGCACAGCGAAGGCAACGCCGACAGCAAGAGACAGAGGAACAGGAGATTGGAATCAGAGGAATTATGATCGTTTTACACTGTCGAAAACCCAGATTTCTTAGTTTGCCGGTTTCCCCGCAGATATATAGATCAAAGTCTGCAAAGTTTCAGCTCTGTATTACGGCCCGAAGAATAATAATTTTCAGGCGAACTGCACCGGGCCATATTTGTTCTTTGTTTTTGTCTTTTTCTAAATCCGGACACCGAAATAATGCTAAATCTGCTTTTCAATACACTGTTAACAATAACACCACATAATACGCAAAAAAGAAGAAGAAGAAAAGAAAGAACAACGCATGGACCTTTAAGACGATATTCGCGGTTGGTCACCCATCCACTTCGTAACCCCGACCGACAGGGCTTAACTTGAGTGCCTTTACCAGGGTTAGTTTATTGCGAGATCATTTATATCAGTTGCGTTCAAGAATGTCACACTCGAATCCAAAGCATTCGTTCGACACATTAGTTATAGGACATTTATATTATTTGTTACAAATAGATAATAAAGATGGTTTTGTTGTTTAACACGCGTCTATTACATTTGCAGTGTTGGTTGAACTCATTATGGGATGTATAAAAAACAATTTTCCATCCTAAGCATGACATGTATCTGGATTTTCATTAACCAGGAAACAAAATGTAATAATTGAGAAAACACAACAGAAAACAAAAGAATTACACTCAGAAACTCTAATACGAAAACTGCATTTCAAAGGTTCATGGCAAATACATGGACAACCACAAGGAGTCTTCATTCGGGTTTTGAAAGGTCGGGGGCAGATTTAGTGACAACTATGACTAGTTTAAAAGAGACCACAATCTGTGTGGTATATTTCCAAATCGGCTGAAGGGGAGCGCTAGAGGTGATGGGAAGGAGAAATTTTTCCCATCGCCCCTCGCGCTCCATTCAGTCACGATTCTCGTGACTAAGGAAGAGTCAGCCAAAGCGAGGTTGCAAATGTCCGTTCAGGAGCCCCTTCCTCGAAATTCCCGGTAATTAACGAACAAACAAGAAAAGTTGTCAGGATTAAACTCTGAGTAAATCTTCAGCTTCAAAATAATAATCTTCTCTGTTTGATCTGTCTACCGACATTATGTCCGACAAAAGGTAAGATTTAAACATTCATTAGTTAAACTCGAGTTGTGTGATTTTGTTTTTACTTACTTAAAGTCTACTTGAAAGTTTAAAAAAGAGCTATAGATGTGAATGAATCTGCATTTCCTTTGAATATTTAGTACGTTAGATAGTCACAGACAGTTACTGTACAAATAGGTNTTACACTCCATTAGGTTCATTGAATCTGATTGGCTGAGAGCAGTAATGCAGTTTCAAGATCGAGCCGGGCTTTAGAGTGTGTGGGGTTTATGCGGGGGGAGGGAGGCGAGAAAGTAGCTTTGATACAAATCCAAGATATATGATGGCCGCCCCTAATGCAGAGCGGTCGATCGGAAAAATAGAGGACTGTAAACAGCCTATAAGTAAACAGAGTACAAAAACGAGGAAATATAATTCAATTATCAGTGAATGAAGCATCGTGATTGGCAAAAAAACAATAGAATTGTTTAATGACCAATCAGGTGCCGCAAATCTTTGTTGGCCACTTTGAGGTTGCGCGTGAGACTGGGTTCAGGTGTTGTGTCGATCGAGTTGCATAGTGGGGATGTTTTGAGGACGAATTTTGATCCAGTAAATTTTTGCCCGTTTGATACGTTTTTGAAAAACACACTCGTGTAAATAAATTGCAAATTGAACTCGACGTTGTAGGACAACCCATACAAACACTTTCTACTGGAGAAAAGGTTTGCATTACGATACAAACTTCACTCTTAAATGCAGATTCCTCCGTTTTCGACGACAGCACTTAGCCTGCCAGTAGATGTCTCAATCCCATTTCCTCTGCGCAGGCTAGAAAGTGCTGCATCATACCAAATAGCACTAAAGTACTTATTATGTGGCTACCGGGCAAGATGAGGCACATTCCTTGTTCTCATTGGTTACCCGAGGAAGCAAGATGGGGAGGAGAGTTGTGTGACAAGACAAAAACGGCTGCGTGCGATACTAAAATTAAGCTCGTTTGTGTATTCACATTTTAAAGCTTAATTTACTTTTTAGCTTAAATTGCTATGCACATTTGAGCTTTTATGTTCTTTGTTAACATTCAAAGCATTGTAACGTTCTTCTGATCATAGTTGCATGGAAAAGGCGCGTTATAATTTTTAAATTATTAATACTATTAATTATTGACTGTATACGGCAGTACATGTACGCCATTAATTCAAATTTTTACAAATCCCCTTCCCCTCTAACAAATCATACTTACAATCCTTACAGCCAAACAAGTCCATTCTCATACATATTTCACCAGTATATGTTTTGGGAAATATTCTGACAAATTGCGCTGCAAACGGAGGAGCAAACCAGTGGACAACAATGGTACTTCTGTCGCTGTTTCCAGTCAAATGCTGCGTGGTAGATCAAGAACAAAGTAAGTGGAGATATACAAATAATTTTATTGCCCTCGCAGGGCCGGAACCCGAGGAGGCACCCTAATGTCCCCCGCGTAAAGTAAAAGTATCGTATCGTCGTAGTGTTAGTATGCGAAATTTTC